CCCCCCCAACAACAACAACAACCCAACACTGCAGGCAGGATGTAAGTTTAACGATCGGTAGAATTTCATCAACATCATTATAAATCAGTACGTAGCCTGACAGTGTCTTGTCTACCCAAACAGGGGGACCGAGTGAAAAGGGAAGATTGATACACAGTCCCACTGCCGACAACATAGAACCAGGAGGGAACGAAATCAAACAGTTATAATACAAATGGCATTGCGAAAAAGTTCCACACTTTGACGGCTAGCACACTTTGGTGTGTTGTACATTACTGTTACTATTACGGACCTGAAAGAAAGTATTAATACATTTTTTAATAGCATCCTACAGACGTGAGAGTGTTAAGAAATCGAAATCTCAGTTCACAAAGAGCTCACAGCATTATGCGTCTATCTAACTTCAAAAGTGTACAAAATCTACAAATAATAATAGGCAAGTAAGAGCAGTTTTATAGACACGAGGGAGTCCCAAGGAGGGTTTGGTAAAGAAACAAAGATGCGATCATGGTTGGGTTTTTTTTTCAGAATGAAAGAATTCACACTTCCTGTACACAACGGATGAAGACAGATAACCATCACGTGAAGGCGAAACAATCATCCAAACAAATAAAGGTACAAACAAACAAACAAACAAACAAACAAACAAACAACCCGAAAGTAAAGAAAAATGATAATAAATATGGGTCAGAAATGGGAGATCAGTATTGCACAGCAAAGAAACGAAAACCTAACTGGCCGGCAACAGCCTATAGAGAGACTCAAATCCCTTACCTTAAGATCAGTAAATCATTAGAAAAAAAAGTTAACTAAATTCAAGCATCTTAAAAGTCATTGACAGAACAGAGACAGTGATTCCGCCGAAAACTATTGAAACTTGCACGAGTATAATGATTATGTACAGCTGTCATTTCATCAACAGAATGGCAATAAATCCGAAAATAAAATGGTTGTGATGCTAACATTTGGTCCCACGCAGAACCCCTCACATATCAAAAGCAGTACACGACGTTCAAAATGTACCCAGGAAATGAAATACGTGATCTAAAAAAGGATAAAAAGAATGATGATATACGTGATCTAAAAAAAATCCTTGTAATGGTGTAAACACATCCAAAGAATGTGATATCGAGGAAACTGACATTCGTGGTGAATGAAAAGTAACAATAATAATATTCTTATACATAGGAGGCGACCAAATGCATTTTGTCTCTTACAAATGGTTCATAATATGAAGTGACAGTACTTTTACGATTATAATCTTTAACGTTACATCTTGTCAAAGGCAGTTTTAAAAAAAACCGTAATGGTGTGTGCTTTCGAACGAACATCTTTTGGTTCAGTACCATGGTTCCCTCAGTGGCGTGGTTTAAACACCCTGCTAGACAGAATTTTACGTCCTTTACGACCCCCAGCTCATGACCGCCTTACCAGGACACAAGGCTTAGAAATCACCTCCTCAAGGAAGAACTACGCCACCCTCGAATATATGAGATTCAAATGTCCGCGGGTTATTTACGTTCGTCAACAACATACGTCCCAACTTGTGACACTAGACATTCGTAAACGATAACAATGTGCCCAAGATATCAATAATATGTATAATTCCTCTAACAGTATACTGCCAGAGTTGATAACACAATGATTATTCTCCATTACAAAGTATTGAATTCTCACAATATGACAGACCCTAGTGTCTTCTCGATGAAAATATTACGTAGGCTGCTTAGCTTTGTGAAAAATGAACTTCTCTGAGAATGATTATCCTCAGGAGTTCCTTCAATAAGATTTCCTCATTATGGACTATGAAATAGTCTCCACGAGAGTCAAAGAAAACATGAAAAGAAATGAATTGTAAACAGTGATAATGACAGAGCAGTACTATACACTTCTAAAAACCAAACACACATTGCCAAGAATCTCACTGAAACGGAATGAAGTCAAATAATACATTGCAAACTCACTCTTATTTCCTTCCGCAGTCATGAACACTCTTTTAGCGTCAACGTTGTCGCTTCAGTCTTTCCAAAAGTAAGCAGTGAATGTGTACCGTTGTTGCTCTTTTTACTGACAACCGACAGAAAACCTTCCACCCTGATTACGTCATGTCTTACATTACGTGCATCCACGAGCTTAAAATAGAAAGAGTCTTATATTATACAGCTCTGAGCACTGTTTTCTAATACTTCCTCTAATAAGTACAACTGCTATAATGTCATATTAGCATGATTAAGTAGAACTAAGCAAAATCTTGCTAATATTAAACTTTTGTAACAGGGCAATATTCAACACAATATAGTATCTACAATAATAATATTATATTTAAAAGTGATTATTCAGAAATATAGTAACGTTAACCCTTTGTGTATTTGTGTGAAAAGTTACAAACACCTTTCATTTAGAGAAGCAAGCCTACAAGTGAAAGTTTACTGAGAGAGATTAATTGACGTACTTGATATGCCCATAACAAAAACAACGTTCACTCTATCGTTTTCTAGCTTATTACAATACGCAGGACACTCACCTACTGTCTCAACACACAGTATTACGGAACAGTATGAACAGCCCGTAGATTAAATGTAACTTAAAAGTAATTTTAAAAAAGTAACTTTGGCAGTTTAGCTGTGGGCCTATAGATGTCTTACTTAAGTAGAACATATATGCATCCCTTTTGAAAAACCAAAGCTAATTTTCTAAAGATTCATAATACGCAGACTTTTACTTTCCATTATTGCATTCCAAAATAAGGTTCATCCACTCATCAGTACAAAATATCTTTTATATCATCGCTCTTTCGCGAACTAAGCTTCGACGCCCGTCTCCTCTGAGTCTTCACTCTAAGGTCACTTCCGATGTCCGTACTTCCGTTGATAGTACTTCCGTTGTCGTTGAGCTCGTCCTGCATTTGCGCCAGTTCCCGTTCGTTGTAGGCCAAGAGAACGGTGAAGGGGCTCCCCTCCACGTGCACCCCCGACCACTGTACGTTCACCGTGTAGATGCCAGGCTCCACGGGGTCGTAGAAACACTGGAAGATCTTGTCTTTCTGGCTGGCCTTGCGCATTTTGACGTGGAAAGCACCTGAGAAGAGGTTGATTATTATTTGTTTGATGTTTAATAAGATAAGATAAGATAAAATAAGATAAGATAAGATCAGATCAGATCAGATAAGATAATACTTTTTTTAATCCCAGAGGGAAATTTTTCTTGGCTGTACAGGACCGTAAAAACACATGCAGGTATACATTTTAAAAAATTAAATTATATATTATTACTCTAATTAAAATTCAATATGAAAAGAGAAGTAAAGCTGACAAAAGTACATTCACATCAGAGGCATCGTAATGTGTACTCCACTTTCAAAGCTATACACATTTTTTCTGTGGATTGTTTCGTAGTAGTGTTGAGTTTGAGAAGATGGAAAGAAGAGCAATAACGAATAATCCAGTCCGGACTGAAAGACCTCAAGACAGACTGCCAAAATCATCCTTATCCCCATCTATATCACCATCATCATCATCACCATCACCATTACTATACTGTCACCATCATCATAATCACCACCACCATCACCATCACTGTTTGGAAAGCAGAGTAGGTGGGAGAGTCTTGTTTGAATTTCAGACAAAATGACATAACCATAGAAAATGTTTAAAATTTGTTTAATAGACACAGCTCAACGTTTCGCCTCTTGGGCTTCTTCGGGAGCAACTGAGAGAAAAACTAAATGTGCGCTGTCTACTAGCAGGGAAATGGGCCAAAACGAAGAGGGTCTTGAGGTTACGTGTGGTTACAGGCTAGACGGAAGTGACTCAGAGCAAGCCAGGCCAAGGGGCTAATTATAAAGAAATTGATGCTAGTCTAGCATCACCATCACCACAATCACCACCATCCCCATCATCATCACTGCCATCATACACAAATTCCTGACGACACACAAAAGCCTAGCACCACTCCACCACTCACCTTTAGGCCCCATGATTCGAACCCTGAGGTCCCCAGAGCCGGCGCCTGTCGTCTCTACCCAGAAGGTACTCTGGAAGCCAGGCAGGATTCCATTCTCCACACCCGGCCCCCACACCTTGACCTCGCCCTTGATCTGGCTCTCCTTGATGTCGATGGCATACGGGCTCCCTGTGCAGGACGGAATAATGATGATGATGATG